TTTTTAATACTCAGTAACTGCTTACCTGCTGCCATCCCTTCTACAATAACTAGAAAGTCTGTTCTTCCATGTGCTTAGGTCAAATACTCCTCCCTGACTACCTCCCACCTAAACAATCAGAGAATCCTGACCACTCTACCTTTAAAACATATGAAGAAAACCAGCCACTTACTTATCTGCCATCTTTATCATCACCATCCTGACCCAAGTCAGAACCATCTCTCACGCTGGAATTATTCCAACCGTCTCTTCTGCGCTGCCCATCCTCCGAGCCTGTCCTCCACAATCTATTTTATCCACAAGTGGGCAGACCATATCTTGCATGTGTAAGATCATAACGCTTCTAAGCCCTCCCACTGTCTCCCACTTCACATAGACAAGAACTCCATGAAAACAGACGTACCTGCATTGTTTCGCTTTCTTCAATGCTCTAGATTTTGACTTAGCTCCTGGAATATTACCCAACATGTAAACAGTAAATATGTGTTGAGCTAATGAACAACTTAATTACCACAGGTTCACAATTAGTCCCTTTATCCAGCAGAGTAAACCCAAAGTTCTCTTCCTCTTTAAAATTGTGCACCACTGACTCTCCTATATAAATTTAAAATCAGCTAGTCTAGTTCTCTAGAAACCCCAAGAACTCTGGCTAGGACTGCTTTCAAATATAATATAATCTGGAGAACAGTTAGCGTTTTGATGTTGGATTCCTCTACACTGAAAACATAGTAGGGATCTGTCTGTCTGTCCGTTGGTCTCTGTGTGTCTCTTCTTTTATGTCCTTCAGTTGTGCTTACAATTTCCTTCATTAAAAAGCAAGCCTTGGGCCAGCCAAATAGCTCAGTGGCTAAAAGTGTCTGCGAGCAGGCACAGAGGCCAGGAGTTCCATCCCGGGCCTGCTACACTGGCCCCACACCGGGGGCACACCGGCATCAGCCTGTAATCCCAGCACTTGGAAGGCTGTGAACAGGAGAATCACTGAGTCCGATCTAGTAGTGAGACCCTGAACGCCCTGTAGACCCTTCCCTAAAATACAGGAAGAAAAAAAAGAGAAAAGAAAGCCTCTTTTATCAAACATATTCCTACTTCCTTTGCTATTACCACAAACATTAACTTCTTCAAAAATTATATTTTCTATCACAAATTGCCAAACTCTCTTCTTTTGTCTTAAAACATGCTTAAATTTCCCTTTGTCTTAAAAAACCAAAAAACACTCCACTTGACGGCGGGGCGGTGGCTCAGTAGCAAAGCACGTGCCAGCCACACACAGGCCAGGGGCTTGATCCCCAGCACTGCAAACAACAAAGCTCCACTCTTCTGTGCTTGGAAGCACTGGAGTGAAGAAGTACTCTCTCCACTGCTGCTTCCTTTCCTACTCAAGCATTAAGCCCTCAACCCTGCTTTTATCCAAACAGCCAGCACACACTGCTCTCTCCACGCCAATCACCAAATCCCCCAACCCTCTCAGCGATTCCTCTCCTCTGGCCTCAGCTGCACAAGGCACCAAGAGCATCCTATGCTTACTCTGCATTCTCTCTCCTTTTAGGTTCCATGAAGCCAATGTTTCACTTCCTCCTCCCGAGTGCCTTCTCTTTTCTATCTTCCAATTTCTCATCTAGCTTTTATTCCAGGAAGAATCTATGTCCATCCCAGGGATGCAGGAAAGTCCCTCTCAAGAAGCAGACTTTGATCCTGCTTGTCTAAGGTTTGGGGTACCAAAGCTATGGTACTAATATGGCAGACAGTGGCTGGACAGACTTGGCCACTGAGTGCCTGCAATGGGGCTTGTCCAAGATGAGACGTGCTCTAAGTGTGAAATACACACAGATCACAAAGGCACAGTAGGAAAAAAGTACATAAATCTTTTTAAGTTTTTTCATTGATTATATGTTGAAATGGTATTTTGGATATATTGCTTTATGTGAAATACATTAACATTACTTTTATCTGTTCTTTTTTTTAATGTAGCTATTAGAAAACTTAAAATAACATATGTAATTCCATTATATTTTTATATAGACAGTACTATTTCAGAATATCAGAGCCAGTCAAGGCAAGGGAGGAGAAGCAGGAGATTCTGCAATGCATTGTCATTTTGTTCTCATTAATGTCAATAAAGTTTAGGTTTTGACTACTTCTTACCTAGGATTATTATTTTTTTGTTGTGCAGGGTCTCACTACACAGCTTGGACTCGTAGTGATCCTCCTGCTTACTTAGGATTATTTCAATGGTCCTATTAGACCATTATCAGCCTATCACAATCTATATACTGTAATCATATAAATCTTCAAAACTACCTGACCCTTCCAACTGCTCAGTCATTTCTCATTCATGGTTCTTGGCACCTCCTAGGCTTAAAAGTTTGATATTGTGGAGCACTTCAAGGCTTTCCACTCTACAAGTCAGACTACCTATGCTTCGGAGCCCCTGTCTGTGCCAAGGTAAAGGTGCCACCTAGGTACCACTTACAGTTTTCACCTTAATGCTCTTTTTATTCATTTTATTTTAAAGAGAATAAAAATAACAAAACATTGGAAATGATACAGAATTTCAAAAAGTAAGGTGACAGGAATTCAACAATGGTTGTTATAGCACATATTTTTATCCTCCAAGTAGTTTACTGTAATTACCAGATGCAAGCATGCAGATAAGCAGCCCACAACAGAAGATGCAGACACCAACCCAAACATATTCAACCAGCTTATCTTTGAGAAATGGGCCAAGTGTGTTCACTGGAAAAAAGTCTCTTTAATAAATGGTGTTGAAAAAATTTTCCTGCCACATACTGAAGACTGAAGCTAGATCTATGTCTATCACCATGCACTAAAATAAAGCCAAAATGGGTCAAATATCTAAACATTAAAAGAGAAACACTACATTTACAGGAAGAGAAAATAGGTAGAAATCTTGAAGACATAGCACAAGCAGGGACTTCATGAACAAAACCCAGACTGCAAGGGAAATACTACAAAGAATCAACAAATGGAATCTCACCTTACTAAAAAGCTTTTACACAACAAAAGAAATCACCAACAGAGTGAAAAGACAACCCACAGAGTGGGAAAGAATTATAGCCAGTTGTCCCTCCAACAAAGGACTTATATGTAGAACATATAAGCAATTGAAAAAATCAGACTCACCAAATTCAAAGACCCAACCTAAAAATGGGTGACTGAGATGAACACACACTTCTTAGAAGAAATACAAATGGAAAATATATGAAAAAATATTCAACAGCATTGGTCATTCAAGAGATGCAAATTAAAATTACACTAAGACTCCATCTCACCCTGGAAAGAATGGATATCAAAATATCAACCAATAATAAATGTTGGTGGGGTTGGGAAATAAAAAGAACCCTTCTCCATTGTTAGTGGGAGTGCAGACTGGTGTAATCACGTGGAAATCGATGTAGAGATTCCTAAAAAAAATTAGGATTAGAGGTCCCATTCACCCCAGCCACTCCCCTGCTGTGTATCTCCCTAGAAGAATTAAAAACATCAAACCACAGTGATATTTGTAATAGGTAAATCTTGAAAACAATCCTAATGTTCATCAACCAAGGAATTAATGAAAAAGATGTGGTCTTTTTATACAACAGAATACAACTCAGCCACAAAGAAGGATAAAGTGGAGACTTTTATAGGTAATTGGATGCGACTTGAGACCATACTCAGAAGTGAAATAAATCAGACCTACATGTGTAAAACTGTATTATTTCACTAATGTGAGAAACTGCACAAGTAAATAAGATCCAAAATGTACAATATATGTTATGAACTAGGAAAAAAACTGTCCAAAAGAAAAGACAAACTATGATGGGGGAAAGGAGAAAGGAAGGGAAAAAGAAAAAAAAATACATCTATACCCAAGATAGTTAAGATAGCCACATAGCTAGTTTCTCTTACTTCATTGACAAGAAAGGTTTGTGCTAATACTGTTTGGACAAAATCTTGAATTCTGAATAACTATTACAAAGATAATAATATGTAATGTATTAATTATTGTAAGTCTACTGACCTGTTTTGAAAGTGTTTTATGGTAATTTTTTAAAAAAATTTTATATGTATTTAGCTCAGGGTCTACAGGGTCTCACTACACAAATCAGACTCATAGTGATCCTCCTGTTTTCAGCCTCCCAAATGCTGAGATTACAGGTGCGTGCCACCATGCCCAGTATCAGTCCCCATCTCGGCACACCCTGGGGATTGAACCCCAGCCACTGCGCTCTGCCTAAGCAGGTGCTTTAGTCTGCTGAGCTATCAGGCCGGCCCTCATTTTTCTCTTAAAAAAAAAAAAAAAGCTGTGAGCTCCACAATGCTCTCTTCCCAGATTCTTCTATAAGCTGAGACAGAAACAAGGTGACACTCAGCATTCCTGTTTTGACTCTTAGGAGAGATAGCGTCACTGTCGCAGTGTATGCTTTTGGGGTCACATTTTTGTGTGGTTTATTGGTGATTCCGCTATTTCAAGTGGCCCCAAGCACAGGACTGCGCTGTGCTTTCCGGAGAACAGTCAGGGAAGCTGCACCCCAGCCTCTGTGTGGAGCGGCGCCAGGACTTGTGAGTCAGTGAGTGAGTACTTCACACCAAACAAAGCACTTCTACGCAGAAATACCCATAAAGCCAGGAAAGTGCTGATCAGCAGGAAAATGCCCTGGATGCCCCCTAAGAGCAAGGTGACAGAACCCTTAATTAGGCACCGCTGACAACTCTGGCATGCGTGTGAGTACTGCAAATGTTGGGAATCAACTACACTTATCATTCCCTTGAGGGCAGGAGCTAGCGTTGTCACTACTCGGAGAAGTAGGTAGGCATTATTAAATAGTCAAGTCTTAACTCATCAGAAAGTTAGTAGGTTTATCTTGTCAATGGCTTCACCTCAAAATTTGAGACCACGTAGTTTAATAAAGGCTGGAGGATAAACATTGGTTTTTATACTACTTGCCTATATTTTATAGCTTTAAAGTGACCCAAAATGGCCATTACCCCAAGCTTACCATTTTTGTTCTTCAGATTAGGGTCTGCTCCATTTTTTAGAAGCTTTAAGGCACACTGCTTATGGGCCCGGTAAGCTGCACAGTGCAAGGGTGTATTTCCTAACTGATCCACACAGTTAACATCAGGAGGATTGGGCCTGTTGAGCTAATAATGAAAAGAAATGTAATACCAAAATAAATACATAAAATTATATATGCTCCCGTGATACACAGGAAGGTACTGCAAGCAGAGCTGGGAGCGGCTGGGCTCCTTGGCATCTGGACTATCCATGGCATCCTGCTTACAAAACCAGCTAAGCCTGCCACCCCTGAGCTCGGCCTCAGGTGCCACAAGAACTCAGTCTGTGCCCAAGACCCACAGCAGCCTGAGGACAGGCACCCCGTGCTCTGCCAGCGCTGCCCCCACCCCCACCCCCACCCCGCCAGTGCAGTCTCAGCAGGACCCGCCCACGCCCAGCAGGCCTGCACTTCACACCCGTGACAGCAAGGCTACAAATCGCGCTACCATAAGCAGCCGGAGGACAGGCCAAGCCATACGGGTTAAATGTGTAAATGTCAAAGTCATACTGAATGTGTTGCTTCCACCTTATTGCTTTAGAAACTTCTTTATATAGTTTCCATTTCACAAAGTTTAAAAAATGTTCCAAAGGCACTATACTTAGAAACCAAAAAAGCTTTTTCAAATAAGCTGAAATAACTTTAAAGCAAATGGTAATGCCTCAGTCTTGAATTCTGAACAAATGCAGAGTTTCATGTTTAATGAGACATTGCAGGAAAAGGAAACTGGAAAGTAGGTCTCTTGAGAAGAAAAAAAACATGGGCAAAGCTTTTGGTCTGTTCTAACATGATATAAATACTTCGAAACACTGTCCTCTCTATTCCTCTCTAGATGGACAACATTCCTTTCAGAAATTGCTGTTCATCAAAATTAGAAAACGTAATCCTTTACAGGGTCTTACATACTGTGTTTCAACTTAATTTGGCTTAATAAGAAACATTTAAAGTTGTCCTTACATTAACTATTTGCTATAAAAAAAAAAAAAGTAGATTCTCCTCCATCAGCTTTCAGTAAGAGACGCAGACGTAAATCAACTTGGGGGGGATCACTCTTTAAAATGTGTCCTATTTGAACTACTACTATCTCAATGTTGTTAGATATTTAAGGACATCTGTCCTTTTATTATGATCTCTGGAAGTTTTCTGATTCTATGATTCACTAAATTATGAACAAAACATTATGTAGAAATTTTCCAAAATATAAAGAAATGAGGCTTTGATTTGTTTTACCAGAGCTGTGAGATCTGCTATTTTGCCTTCTCTTGCTGCCGCTAAGAGCAACTCTTCAAGCTTCCTTTGTTGAGTTCTTTCTACAGCTGCAAAAAGAAAAAAAGTCACTAATCAGGGTCTTATGAGCAAATTCATATAAAAAAGTGGCCCAGCGAGAAAAGAATGTCACGAGATGTAATGCACACACAAGCTTTGTTATTCGCACTGCCTTCCACAGCCGAGCAGTCTGATTTCTTTCAGATTGGGGTGAAATTAAGTTTTCAATTCAGAGGGCTTTAGGTGTTTTATTCACAATAATACTCATCACAAATAATTGTGAATTACTTTTCCGTGCTGAAATACCATTACATAATTGCCTCGAACAGGGAAGCAAATGGGATTTCTAGCTTCCAGAACCTTACCATGAGAAAAGTAACAATAAGAATCAACATTGGAGCCAGCTGTAAGTGGAGCACGCCTATAATCCAGCACTCTGAGAGGCTGAGGCAGGAGCACAGAATCAAACACAGAATGTATAACTTAGCAAGACCCTGACTCAAAGTATAAATAAATAGTGAGTTGGGGAATGTAGCTCAGTGCAAAGGCCTGGCTGGGTTCATCCCCCAGTACCAAGAAAAGGAGAAATCTCATTGGTAGAAATATACAAAGCCATGTGAGGCCCAAGGAGATAGCTCAGTAGAATAAGCACTTTCCTGGCAAGCGCGGGGCCCTGAGTTCAATTCTCAGTAAAAAAAAAAAAAAAAAAAAAAAAAAAAAAGCCATATGAGATATCAAATTACTTACATGCTCTCATATGGGAATATAAGATTCATTTTATTTAACACAATAGCACTATTTGCCAAGTGCAATTCAAAACACTCGAAAATATTAACTCACCATATCTTCATGGCTATCCTGAGGGTGGCACTACTATCCTTATTATTATTTTTAATGTATTTGGTACAGGGACTACAGGGTCTCATTACACAAATCAGACTCATAGCAATCCTTCCTGCTTTCAGCCTCCCAAGCACTGAGCTTACAGGCGCAGGCCAACACACCCAGTTTCAATCGCTATCTCAGCAAGTCCCAGGGGCGGGGCCGGCACAGCACCCCAGGGATCAAACCCGGTCCCAAGCAGGCGCTTTAGTCCACTGAGCTATCTGGCGAGCTGCTACTATCCTTATTTTACAGACAAAGAAACTGAGGCACCCAGAGGTTAAGGGTCGTAATCAAGGTCTCACACACACCGGAGGAGCTGAGACTTGAACCTGGACAAGCTGGCCCCAAAGTCCCTGCTCCTATCTCTAATGCTGCTTCGCAAGTAGCTTTCTGCAGGAAAGGAGCAACTGGCAACCTCATTTACGAGGGGAACATGCCCTTAAGGCCTCACTTCTGGCAGATATGAATTCTGTTCTGGCTTACAGAAAAGAATAATTTCATAAAGGCTCAGGAACCCCATCGATCCCGGGCAAGGGCCACAAGGGAGGAACACGCTCCTGGCAGTCTTCCTGCCACGTCAGCTTAGGAACAGAAAGAGGCGGGGAGCCTGGCGACTGAGGAACATCTATGAGAAGTCTGCAATTAAACCTGGCGTGGCGGTGCACGCCTGTAATCTCAGCACTCAGGAGGCTGAGGAAGGAGGGTCGTGTTTGAGGCCAGCCTGGGCTAGACGGTGAGCTCAAAGCTAGGCAGAGGTACATAGCAAGATCATATCTCTAATAATAAAGTTAATAATTACTGTACACAAACCCTTGTTCCAGTCAATGTGCTAACGTAATAAGGTACTCAACAGGCAACAAACACTGAACACAGGATGAGCCAGGGCTGGCTGAGTTTTGTCTTGAGAAACAGCTCACATATTAGGCAGCAGCAGCATCCAGCCTCACGTTTTCAGTTCTGAACCTGAAGCCTCCTACCACACACGCTCCCGCTGCTTTCTTCTGTCACTGGCAGTCGCTGTGTGCTTCAGTTTTTCCTCTTGCGGATTCTACGGCACTGAACTGCGAGCTCTTCCTGACTGCTGGCATCCCCACCCCTACCCTACATATTCTGCTACTGCACCTATGAACCTGAGCGATCATATTTTTCCCTCAGTCCATGGGCTGTACATCTGTGGATCTAACTAGCAGACTGGAGTTATTTTTTTAAATCTGTGTGTGCATATGCACACATTTTTCTTGTCATTATTTCTTTTACAATGCAGTGTAACAACTATTGACATAATTCTTTCATTGTCTGAGGTATAACAAGTGATCTAGAAATGCATTACATAGTAGGATGCTCTTCTGTCATATAAAAATATATTTTATATAAGGAACTTGAGCATCTGCAGATTTTGATATATAATCTTGTCCTGGAAATAATAATTCCCTACATATAATAAGACAGCTAAACTGATGTGGTTAGGTAATAACACATCCTTGTTTTTAAGAGAAACATACTCACGTATTTAGGGGTACTATGTGTTCAAAGTTCTCTCAAATGCTTCACCAGAAAAAAAAAAGTAACTAACACAAATCACATATGAAAGGATAACCAAGATAAGACAGTGTTAGTAAGTGGTGAGGCAAGGTGACTCACAAAGGTTCATTGCAATTTTTTTTTCTTTGTGGTGGTACTAAGTACCGAACCCAGACATTACTGAGCTACATCTCAGCCCTTTTTTAATTTTAAGACAGAACCTTGCTAAGTAGTCCAGGCTGGCCTACAACTTAGAATCTTCCTGCCTCAACTTCCCAAATGACTGGAATTACAGGCATGTGTCACCACACAAGGCATCTATTACACTTAAAATACACACACAGATTGGGCATTTTTCAACACAGAAAGGAGATACGTTTCTCTAGTCCCTGACAAGTAGTCCTCTACCCTCTCCCCATAAATCTCTAGTCATGGAAAACTACCTACGCCCTTTAAGGTAAACCATAACATTCATAATAGTGTGTTGGACGCAAAGACAAACTGCTGGGACCGCATCAACTAAGAACATGGCTCTCTCAACAGCAGTTCTTCAGATACTGAGGTACAATGATGGCACTGTGCCTCCCTGCGTGGCTCTCTGGAGCAGCACTTCCTACCTCTTCGAGAATCATTCTACGATCTGGTTTCTGACCTACACGTGGGCTTAGTGAGCTCCTCAAGGTACTTCCTCTAGCTTACCAATGACCATTTCCAGCTCCACTCCGAGAAGGCGATCTCACTGAACAGAATCGTCAGCTCTTGGCATTCTCTGCTCACCAACACAGCAGACCAGCTGTAAATGGTCAATGATTCTGTTTCTATGTCCCAGGCTTGAGCCACATCACCTGACAAAATACATTAACTGTGAAGTCAACTAAGCCCTTGCCCTTGAACAGTTTGGGTTCCGGAAAAGGCTTAGAGCCTTATTTTCAATTTTCCTTATTAAATGTCAGCTTGTCAGACTAACCTAATATTCCAGTCAGTCAGGAAAACCTCAGTTCTGGGTTCTCATTTTGAAACATTAAAATGATAGAAAGGGATCCAAGACAAGTCGCCTCAGCCTCTCAACTAGATGGCAGGTACTGAAGGGCAGGGACCATATGGGATATGTTCTGCAGGTCCCAAAAATCATGATAAAAGATGTTATGTGTTGATGTGCTCTTTTTTTGTTGACAATTACTTCATGTTAAAGGCAGGAGTAAGTGGAGACGCTAACCTAAAGATGTCTGACAAACGTAAGTTATTCTGTAACCAGAGAGCAAGTGAGAAAAGCTCAATTAGAAAATAGTAAAACAAGCAGGACCTTAGTTTTTATAGAGATAAAAATATCAATAATTACAACTAAGAAATCAAAACCCACTAAATACAAAGTTACATTGCCCATCTCTTAATTTCAAAGAAAAACAGGACATTAGAAACTGAAATTCTATTCAGTATCATTATTTGTGAACTAGAAATTGAGGCTACTTTCTCTAAATTATAAATACTACCAGAACGTAATTATAGCGAAGCCCTGACCAGTCCAAGAAAAACACTATTGCAGAAGGGTTTCTCAACGTACGTATGGAAATGTCCTTGTTTCCAAGTATGTCAGAGAAATTTCTGTGGCTTAGCGCAGACCACAAGTCTCAAATGCAATTTAATCTCCGTTGCTCATAGCAATGTGGCTGATCCTTCAAGAAATGACTGTCGTCTATTATACTACAGTGAAATCCTCAGGAAGACGGCGCCAAACAGAGCGGGTTCCCATCACCACAGGACGCCTAACAGCTACAAGTTCCTCTGCCCTGCGCTCTGTGTTCCTTTAAAATTAAGCTTTATGAGCTCATTGGCATATTCTCTCATGTTTTTACTTTTCTACCTTTTTTTTTTTTTTTTTTTTGGAAGAATGTAAAAGCTACAGATAAGGAAACTCTCATAGATATATATTCAGCCTAAATACTTTCTCCACAATGACCTTATCACTAGAGTATGCTGACACTGCTGTCATCTATTTTGATATTTCAGAAGCAATTTCACTCATATTCTAGATCTAGGCTGTCAAGTAAATTTATGTTAACATCCATAATATTTACCTTCAAGCATGTTCCTGATTTCTTTGTCATGAGTGGCTTCTTTTGGTGTCTGTCCATTCCCATTTACCACGGTAGAATCAGCATTATACTCTAAGAGAAGCATTACCAACTCCTAAATAAACAGAAAAAAAGTTTAGCTATTACTGGGCCAAGACTATTTCATTGCAACTGTTTCTTAAATTATTAACGACTATAGTTTCTATAAGAGAAGAAAGTACTAAAAATCTATTGCACATCAACTCTACAATAAGTGTTCAACCAATTCTGATAGCCAATAACTACCCAAACAATTTTTAATTCATCATAAATATGCAGTATTAGTTTCTTGCAAAGAAAGTTTTACATTATCTGTTTCTTTTCTTTTTCTGTATTTTTAGGAAGGGTCTACAGGGTGTTCAGGGTTTCACTACTAGATCAGACTCATAGTGATCTGCCTGTTTACAGCCTCCCAAGAGCTGGGATTACAGGTGCCTGCCACCAAGCCCAGTCTCAACTGCTGTCTCAGAGCACCCCAGTGGTGGGGCCGGCGCTGCAGGCCTGGGGATTGAACCCCCGGCCCCTGTGCCTGCTTACAGGCACTTTAATCCACTGAGCTATTTGGGTGGCCCTTCTGTTT